TATACTACATGTGAGTTGAAAGTGCACTAAAATAATACCGGTACAGAAATTAAGAAGATAGCTTTTTTATTGCATGTTTTTTTTTTTTTTTTTTTGTGTTAGGTTTTATTTTAAATGTGTCCACCTGACAAGTACAGGCTCACAATGTATCATCTGAGGTGCCTTTTTATACCATATGGTTATTTGATATGGCCATTAATTGTAATTTCCATGATCATTAACAATACTTTGTACTTGTTCAATTGAGCTTTTAAGAGCATTTTTTTTTAAAAATAGTATTTTAAACTATTAAAATTTATTGTCAAATTGTGCAGCTATAATGGAAAAGGGCAAAGATGAAAAGTACTGATAGTGTTTTACAAAAAATTCCTATTATGGTTTTGAAAAGTTCTGTTGATAGCAATTAATGTAATGGGTAGTGCTTTCACAATTTTTTCTGTCATTATGTACCTAATCGTGTTACACAGAAACAAAGGAGGATGTCTGAATAAGATGGGATTAAAGCTCTAAGCTATTTTCCCAATCCTCTTGTTGTATATGTAATAAGACATCAGTTCTTGTCACAACAAAAATGTTCCAAGCTTATGTTTATTTATTCTAATTGTTCATTTTATTATAATTTTTTTAGAAAGAAAACTCATTCATCTATTTGTCCTTGTAAAGGGGAAAATTTTTTAAATTTTTTCCTTAATTTTTTTCCCCTTCATATTTAGCATCTTCATAAATTTATTGTACATTTTGTTTCTTTGGTAGAATTATCCATAATATGCACCTTTTTTTTTCACCTGTATTTGTATATGCTATTTACATCATGCTATACAATGTGTACTCTTAGACAAATAACCAACCAAAAGTTTACCTTATAAATTTTTATCTTATAATAATTTTTATTGTAACAGGATCACTTGCTGGATATTTGAACCAAGATTTTGTATATGTTTCTCTTGAAACAGTTTCAATAAATTATATGTAACTCTTAAATTTGAACATGTGGTCAAGTTAAGCAGAAAGCTTTTTTTGCTATACAAATTTATTTTTCCTTTCCCTCTTCCCAAACCCAAATAATCATATTTAAGTCAAATATTTTATTCAACATAATCTGCTGATATCATTTTGAAAATTGATTTTTTTCATGGAACTTTAGAATAGTATACTTAATTCTCAATGCTTTTTCCTATGTTATATCTAAATGTGTCAGTGTGTATGTGTTAATCAATATACTCACATACATGCTGTAAAGCACAGATTGAAATGATTATTAATTCCTTCACATGGTTAATGGTTCTCATTACCTCTTAATTTATACACATATTTTTTTTTATAGTTGTTTATTTCCATTTACAATTGAACTATTGAAGGTGTTTTTTTTCCATTTAAACATTAAAAATAAAAAACAACACAAAATGATGTATTGTGTTGTAAATTCTTGCGATGGTGAAGTAACATTAAATACTGACAACATCTATGTATGTATGTTAAAACAATTCAATGATAGCAATACATATTGTCCAAAAGTTTAAAACAAATACTTTTTTTTTCCCCAAAGTTTTCATTGTATTTTAAGTAAAGCCATATAGCCCATGTAACACATACCTCATCTGTGTGAGTTCAAGAAAATGATTTAGTAATGGAAATACAAAGGGATCAGTTCATGAAATACTCAAGTTTTTACAAACCCAAATTTAGTAAAAAAAAATAAAAAAATTATATTGAGCTGGTAAATAAATGTTTTTTTTAAAACTTGCTTTGTCTTTAAAAACATTTTTATCTTCAATTTATGAATTATTTATTTTAAGATCAAGCAATCTGAAAGTAAGAGCGACGAAAAGACTTGTTTAAAAAAATATTTTATTCATTGTTGGTTCTCTAAAAGTTTTAAATATTTTTAAAGATCAAAGTACAATAATTTAATTTGTTACATTTTCTCACCAGACATATATTATCCTCACACACCAAGCTTGAAATGCACTTGTATGATGAATTCCTATTTTTAAATAATCTGATACAACAACTGTAGATATGAGGTACTTGTTTCTATGTGTTATGAAAATTACATTTTGTCTACATAATTACATGATAACAATTTGACACAAACAATTTTTTTTTACAAATCTGAACTTATATTACTCAATCACAGAAATTTTGAAACTTATTTCTATTAAAAATATTTGCATACTTCCTTGTTTTAGCAGGAAACCAAATGAAATGAAGCTCTGTGACTGCCAGAATATCTTTGTACAAAATAGTGCTTGGATTTAAAAAGAAAAAAAAAGAAAAAAAAAAAAAAGAAATAGTATTACTAAAGACTTATTTTCAAGACAGCTGTAATATAAACTAAATAATTTACATAATTTTTAGCAGGAAACAAAAAGAAATGAAGCTCTGTGACTGCCAAAAAAACTTTGTAAAAAAAAGTGCTTGGATTTAAAAAAAAAAAAAAAGAAAAAAAAAAAAAAGAAATAGTATTACTAAAGACTTATTTTCAAGACAGCTGTAATATAAACTAAATCATTTACATAATGTGTTGGTTTAATTGTGACGTTCTGAATGCTGGGTGTAGTGGATGGTCACAGTCAATGTTCAGCCAGCTTGTCATTAAATCATTAAATGTTCATAGTCCCTTTTTATTACCAGAACCTTGCCACCCACTATCCCCATCTTAGTTTTATGTTTCATGAAAACTTGTAGGCCTATTGATCTGTTCCTTCATTGTCATTTATCATAAAGAGAAATTAACAGTAGCCTTTGTAATTAAAACAAGGCCATATATGGCTTCATAAGTTGAGTGAGAATAAAGCATGCTCCTTCAAAGCTGATTTGTATTTCTATTTAAATCTGTTTAAAAATATTTATTTTCTGCATTTAGTGAACAAATGAATAGTTATTGTTAAGCAGTTTGCTATTTGATGTAAGGACTCATAAAAAATGCAGACTTTAAAAAAAAAAACACCGGCTGACTACAATATTGTTAAATAATCATACTTCTTTTCAAACAGTTCGATTTTTTCCAAGGATATGTTCATTAAATAAATGCAAAGTTGATACATATTTTCACCAAGTAGTCCCAAGTGGGGTTTTAATATTTTTTCTGAAAATTTTGACTAAGACTGTAAATACTGTTTGTCATGTATCATCATATCTTTATATACTTTCATTGATGCTTTATTCTTTTATGATGATGATCAACTGTCTTCTAATATTATCTAGTGTTATCTATATTATACCTCAGTGACCTGGGCGAATGTGGTTTTGTCATGTTTTTTTTGCAGTGATGGTAGTAAATGGTTGTCATGTCATGTTTTGTGAAAATAAAAGGTAAAATCACACACTCAAGAGTTCTTTGTTTATTCCTCTCCGTTAATAATTTAAGTGATTAATGGCGGCTAATTGAAGCAGCAGTATGCATAGTAGCATTATACAATAGGAATTTGATGTGCAAATAAAAATTAATGCCAATGTTCTTCAAAAAATCATTGCATTTGGAGATAAGATAGATTCTTTATTGATTTTAAAAAAATGAAAGTTTTTTTTTTAAAATTACATTGTACATATTCATTTTCAGCACATGAATAAATTACATATTTTAACTAAGAAAACATTTTACAATTATAACATTTAAACGCAAGACATCTTAAGTATTTCCTTAGCAAATCAGCCATCGATGAACTCCTTTTGTGACAATGACTTAATTTGTGATCATTTAGATTTGGTAACCGCTGGGAGAACATGCTGGTAAATTCGTACAGACTGGGGAACAAAATAATTTTTATATCTTTTGGTCCTAACTTAAAGAGAAAGAATTCACCCTGATTGAGCTGATCTAAGGTATCTGTGATGAAGAGTGTGGAGTATATCATCCACGTTTTTTTTTCGTTTTATAGCAGCATTTACAACATAAAGTAGCTTGCCTAAAATTACTCACTATTAAAAAGGTCAATGAACTAAAAGGAAGATATGGAAGTAAATTATTTTTCAACTCAGCACATATATTATATAGCACAAAAATATTATATTTTTTACTCTGTGACACACTGTCGCCCCTACCATTATAACGTTGTATAACATATCCATTGACCAAAACCTTTGTTATATAACATCCCCCCACCCCACTTAAAAAAAAAAATCATTTGTAATACAAAAGACTTCAGGAATGCTGTCTAAAGCCTATAACTAACATAATTTCTGTCTTTTTGGTCGAAATTTGCTTGTTTCGTCTTGTATCATTTGAAAAAAGACGAAACAAGCAAATTTCAACCAAAAAGACAGAAATTATGTTTTATACAAAAATATTGCTAATTCTTTAAAAAGCATATACTTGGGGGAAAATAAAAAAGAATTAAAAATAATCATTAATTTTTATTATATAGAAATAGAATAGGCGGCATAGGCAGTATAGCATGCTCTCTAACACCCCACCCGACACAACATTACAAAATGATTCTTACCCCATTCGCGTTATACACAATATAATATTAATATTTGCCCGGTCCCTTAATATAGCATTGATGTTATTTAGCCTTTTTTTTTTTTAATAATAAAATATTTAGATCTAGGACTAGCAATCAATTTATTTTCTAATTTATCTTATTCACTCATGACATAAAAATCAATGAATTCAAATTCAAGGATTATCAGAAGCCAAAATCTGGATGATACTGTTAAAATGGATACTGTGGACACTGTGGTTAAATTATTTCATGGATTAATATAATAACACAAATTTAAAAAAAAATTAAATTTGGGAAATTTTTCACAAGTCAATCAAAATATTAACTAGACCCTGGATGCGTTTATTGTTCAAGTTGGTAATCCCTTATTTTAGTGCTTTTTATTATTTCTAGAAAATAAAATTTTAAAGTTTGTTACATTTTATATTTAGAAATAAAAAAACTTGTTAATTAAATTAATAATGAAAATAATAGAACAAAACTTATAAAATCAATTTCAATAGCATCACAATTTATTGTTAAAATTAAATGTTTGCGGATGTCTCGGTATTTGAAGATACCGGTATGTCAACTATTGTCAACTCAGTCAATTTCATTTTCAAAGGGTAATCCCTTATTTACTTATTTTCCAATTAATCTAGGTTTAATTTAGTATTGTTAAACCCAAACTTAGAATAATAAAATTTTATAGGTGCGGTCAATTTAATAATTACTCAATCATTATGTCAAATATTTGACTTTGACGTTAAACTTTAAGTGTAATTAACTGGCAACTGAGACTGAGTAACAAAACAAAATAACATGCAATGCCATTGTCAATTACAGTAATAGTGCTAGTGGCTGTGGGGGCCTCGGCTTCCGAAACATGATTAATTTTTCCTGGTTACCTCAAGCCCAAACTCTAATGTTCTGAAACCACCGCTACTCTACTGGCTTTAATTAAAATTCCCCTTTGAACCTTTTGAGTTTGAGCATTAAAAGTTACTACTTATTAAGAGTTAGATTTAGACTGGCTTACAGTTATGACCGTTATCTGTTAGTAGTTAGTAATAGTAGTTAAGTAGTTAGTAGTAGTTGGATTTAAATTTAATCCCAACTTAGACACTTAGAGATGTCTTCTAATTGTTTAAATTATCATAATCATGGAGAGCCTTGGCATAAAATCATAAAAATTTCTAAAAAATTAATATTACATTTGTTATCTCAGAAATCAAATCATCACCTTGCTAATAATTAATAATGTTCATTAAGTTAATCAGACTATGATTATGTCTATGATTAATCCGAATTAAGACAAGTTTAAAAAAAAAAAATTTTTATATCTCTTTCATCATACTTTTTGAGTCCTAGCCTAGTCCTGGATTCTAAAGGCCAGAGTAATTATGATAACTTCTTTATTTTTCAAAATTGTTCAGAGTTCATTTTTTTGTTAAATTTTGTTAGGTATCATGAACTTAGTCTTAGTTTAAGAATAGCTACCCTGAATGTTGATAAAATCAAGCTTTAAAAAAAACCCTAAAAAATCTGATTTATTTGAATTAAATGGGATTTTAAAATTTGAATTTTTTTCTTCTTGTTTGAAAAGGATTTCTTAGATTTTGAAGGATATTAATGCCACTTGAAGTAAGTTAATCTTTATTAAGATTAAAAGTCACATTGAAGATGGCATCGGTAGGTCGTTGAGCGTGAGCTCTTAATAACCCCCTCCCCGGCACCCCTCCATTTGGGTCAGGCACCGGGTGTCCCCGCCGCCAGACCCGCATGCCGGGAACCTCCTCGCTGGCCTGGGGGATGTCCGGTCGACTGAAAACACTGAGTTTAAAGCGTTCGCAGTCCACTCTCCGTGGGTCAGAATGGGTTTTCTTCCAGTCCGGGGGAAAGTTGTTGTGTTAACACCCCTCCAACGTTCAAGGGAGTCTTTCGGACAGGACGTAAGCTTGAAGGAAAAGGTCGCCTAGGAGAGGCTTTCTCAGGGCCGTGTAGCTTAAATCATCGGTGTGGGTTTTAACCGTCACCCAGACCTCATATCCATTAATGGCAACAAGATTAAGATAAAACATAATTAGTTAATAGTATTCAAATTGCATTTTATATAAGACCTCTTATTATTATTATTTTAAAATTTTATATCAGATTTTTAAGAAAAAATTACCAGTAATTAGATTTCTCTATATTTTGTAGTATATTAATGGTTATAAAGATTAAAAATAATAATGTTATTGAAGGTACTTAAATAATTTTTAAAAAAAATAAATTAGATTTTTAAAAATGTAATAGGATTTTAAAAATTAAATCAGATTTACTCAATTTATAATATTTTGTCTTCTTCTTTTTTTGTAAATTTTATTATTTAAATTATTTTTTTTTAAAAGGGTTTCTTTAGATTTTTAAATCTATTAATTTTTTTAATGATTAAATATCCTGTTGCTACTATTATTTAAATCACATTTTTGGATGCAAATAGGATTTTAACTTACAAATTTTAATTTAAGTAAAATAACATTAATATTTGAAAATTTATACAATCTAAATTAAATGCATTTGAAAGGATTTTTATACTTTTTTTTATTTTATATAATGAGACATATTAATTTGGAAAAGTTTTAAAAACGTATAATCAATGTATCTATCAATGTGAATAATTACTTTAATTCAATTTCAAACGTTCAAATTATCAATATCAATGCCATAAAATTGTAATTTGTCAATGTCATGCTAATCCACCAAAGCAAGCCTTCTGATTGAATAATTTGAATAGAAAAACCAGTTTCCAGCTTTATAAACCCCAAATTGATTTCTAACGGCAGTCCATAAAGTACATCTACGAAAGTGTGACAATTTGTGACACAGTTTTTGGGGGGAAGGGGGGGAAGGGATTTAAAGATCACACATTTTTTATTTTTTGATCATTCAAGTAAAAACTGAAATTGACAGTGATGTTTATCTTACTGTTGTGTTAGATGTATTCTGACAGACGATTTCACTTTTATATAGTAGGCTAAGTGTGTTTTAGATTTAATTTTAATTAATTGTGTTTTAGATTAAATTTTAATTAGTTGTGAAATGTATTAATAATTTTTTATTTCAAATGTGTAATATACTTTAGGGGGATTGGGGTATGAGAATTGTGTCAAGGGGAAGGAGGGGTCAAATAAAAAAAAACTTATGGCACTTTATGGACAGCCCCTAATTTCTAAAAACTGAAAGTTTAATTGAATAAAAATGATATTTATTATTACAAAATATTGCAATCATAATTATATATTATGAAATAATATATTATGTGATTGATATTACATAAAATCAAACAGAAGTTCTTTTTTAGCTAGTGCCTTTAAATATAAATATGTCAGATAAACAAATATAATATAGATATACAATAATCAATTAAAAAAAAACAATTTGATTAACATCATGATTTTTATGTGCCTGATTTAAATCAAAGATTTAAATATACGTGTTATCTTCATTGAGATAATAATTCGCCAAATCACTGTCACCCAGATTTCATTAAGCCTACATTAATAAGGTGTTAATCATATTCAACTGCTTAGCCTTAGGTTCGGAGCATGCAACACACACAGAGCTTAAATTTGGTACACAACTTAGTCTCAGTGGGCTATCTTAGGCTAATTTATTAAAAAAATGGCGGGTCCTTGAATCGTCTATTTAAAAAATTAAATTGCTTGAGTTAAATTTTTTATTGTGAAAGAACTGTAGTGGTGCACTGGGTGTTTTGGGTCTTCCTCGTCCTCTTGATCGTTTAGGGTTCCATAACATTGTTTGTTTTGTTACACCTGGCACGGGTTTACTTATGGTATGAATTATGCCTCTGCACCTTAATTTCCGTTTTTTTTTGCTTTACTGGGTTTTATGCTTTAAATGTCTAATTAATCCTTATCAACATCCAGTTAATGAAGTTAATATAAAATCTCATGGAAATGGGGACTAGGAATATGCACACCATTTATCTTAAGGTTATTGTTGGTAGTCCACAAGGTAACACCACTGCGCTAAAGGATAGGCAAAGGGGCTTTAAAGTTCATTTGGGAAAGGGTTCATTCAACCCCTGAAAGACTCTGGTCATGCATATACTTATTAATTGTAAATGCTTGCAAAGCTCACGCATATACTTATTAATTGTAAATGCTTGCAAAGTTCATGTTTTAACATACGTAAGTATAAGTCAAGACAAAATTATTTATTTTACTTTTACTTAAATTATTTAAATAGTCTCATTTTGTACCAATAATATGTCTCAAAATATAAATGCACCCATGCTTCTCATCAACAGGTTAAGATTAGATTTCTAACAAACCATGATGAGAACAAAGTCTGCAAAGTTTGGGCTGAAAATAGAAGAATATGTGATTACCGAAAAAGAACAAGAGATCATTTCAGAGTCATATTTTAACACCAGAAATGTACATCTCAAAGAGTCAAATGGAGGTTACACATCCTGGAATAGTCTTTGCTCCAACACCATTACCACAGACCTCAATGTCACCTCATTGAGGATTTTTTCTCTCATTCATTGAGGACCTTTTCTCTCATTCATTGAGGACTTTTTCTCTCATTCATTGAGGACTTCTTCTCTGGAACAAAACTGTCAAGATAATAAGAGGTAGTACCATAAATAGTTATGTCTGTCTTTTGGACAATAAAAATTCTATTTTCAAATTATTGTTACCATGAAACCTGCAAGAGAATTATATTTTTTTTTACCTAAATTTATTTTGTAAGCAATACTCTGACAGCTGTCTACTTGTATTTAAAGTAATTATCATTCACTTTGCTTTAAAGCTCAACTTTTATTTAACTAATTATAAGAGTTTTGGATTGCGATAAACCTTTCAAGTAGATTAATGAGACACAATTTGTCTAAATAAAACAATATAGGTAAAGCCTTAAATATGGTTACCTAGAATACATTAATAACAAGATTTGGTGTGTTGGATACTTGTTCCCATTCTGTTCTTTTCTTTCATTTTTGGGTGGGATGCATGAGTATATATTATTTAAATAAAATTTATACTTGTATGAATGTTTTATGTTGTACAGATGAAGGCATTTGCCGAAACATTCTCATTTGCATTCTGTGTAACCATAATTAAAGCTTAACCTGTCTAGTTTTATTTACACAAATTATCTGTGTCTATTTGTTCAACATTTAAGAAGTGATTTAGTTACATTCCAAAAGGATATATAGAATCTACTTGAAAAATCTGATGATCAATTTTCAGCAGCATATCAGCAGTACCAGTAGCTGATAAGATTTTTTTTTAAAAATCAAGGACAGCATATAATTAACCTCAATTAAGAACCATGGTTTGCCTAGTCCATGATCCTTGCCTGCACTAGCACATGTGTTGTGTTCAGATGTGTTCAGACTCAGAGGTCATTTAGCTAAATGTCAGCAAGCACTTTCATGACAGGATCTTATATTTCTTATTGAATCTCCTACCTTCTAAAGTTGTGTTACCCATAAAGTTTTCCTAATAATTATTTTTTGTGTGTGCTGTTGAAACTTTATGATTTTGTTGTTTAATATAGTGAACAAGTTATATGATAAGACATAATTAAACATTTTAGTTTCTATTCATCTGAGTTCAGTGCTGTTTTGTTGACTTAGCGATCTGTTTTTTGTAGCCTTTAATATCTATTTTTTTTATTTTTTTTTTTCCCCTCAGTTTATGCCACTGAAGATGAAGCAGATTCATCAGTTTAATAAGTTCCTACCTCACCGTCCAGCCCATCTCACAACACCCATACAGAAGCCACATCATGGATATCATCACCGTACAGCTGAGAAGAGTGGCGTCTTCTCTGTTTCTTCTAGCACTGCCTGCCATGGTTTTATATATATTCCCAACCTTTGGAGACAGATTAATAGTGGTATTGTTAATGGATTTTGTACGAAAAATTCTCATGTACCTCGGTTGCTGAATCAAAGTATTTCCTTTGGAAATTTCAAAATGCACTTAACTTGTAGACAACTCTTGACAGGCGGAACTGTCTCTCAATTTTCATCCTCGCTAGTTTTCAACAAGAGATTCTTTTTTAGCCACAGCAGTGCACATGTCTCAAGCACAGACAAACAAGCTGTCTCCTCAGCAAAATGGAACAGTTCATTTGTAGAAGTCAGCCTGAGAGGCCACACCTGTAGAATCCCAAACATCTGGCTGAGGGATCATTGTCGTTCTAACAAGCTCTACAATCACAAAACCCACCAGAAGATTTTGGATCTTGAGCTGTCCAGCCAAGACTGGACCCCATCTGCAGTCAGCTACTCAGAGGACATGACAGTCATCTCAATTCAATGTAAGTGTCTGATTTCATGAAAATATCCTGCTGTAATCTATATACCAGGTAACCTGGTTGTCCCTAGTTCAATGCTGATCACTTGATCAGAATAAGCTGCAGAGAAACATCTGAATGATTAGTATATGATTTCATTATTAAAATGATTCTTGTCCATTTCATTATGCAAAGATAATATTTTGGTGTTTTCAATTTAAAAAGAAAAAAAAAAATACATTTTATTTCTCAACTTAACATTCTGTAGGTACTGGAATGAAATTGTCTTTTTTTTTTATTGAAGAGAAAGTTTGTCATTCATTTATTTGTATATGGATAAAGACTTTTTTAGTTAAGAATTTTATGAAAGGAATTGTAAAAAACTATGTTTTCTCTCCCCACCCACAAACAGGGAAAGACGGTCATGTCTCTCACTTTAAACTTGAGTGGCTTGCCGACAACTATTTCCCTGGAGTATTTTCCAGACATGCACAGAGGGTGTATTGGAACCACAAGATGATCCAGTCTGAAGGTTTGCCCACCGTGACATACACTGAGCACATGGAAACTGATGGAGGATTAACTCAGTCGCTCAGAAATCTTGTGAAATATGGCATTACAGTTGTTAAAGGGGTCAGTATTACTTTGTTCTATGATGATTGTCGCTATCTGTAATAATTGGTTTCTTGCATCAAGTTCTTTGACACATGCATATGTCATAATCACAACCAGCTGCGTTAGGTTAAAATTAGAGCATAATTTTATTTCTTGCCATAAGTGCCATATGAGTTCAATAATTCTTCACATTTTAATCACTTTACTAAGTTTATTTTATCACTGTATCAGAGTGAGTCAGTGACTCATTGTGATTCGGTGCCATTCTGCACCAGAATACTGAGAGGCACCAGAATACTGAGAAAAGGAGTTTTAATAGTTTAAAAACAGCAAAAGTATAAATTGTTTATTGTTTTCAGTTCAGCGCATAGGTTGAAAATGGTAGAATTTATTTTAAAGTTGTTCATCAATTTAGAAGATAGCACCTTTGTGATCTATATGTGTTCTATAATACAAATACAGCCTATATAATAGATTGGTCTATCGCCAATACAGAAACTTTATGCGTCAACTTTATGATTGATAATATGAATAAGTTTAATGACACAACAGCTGTGATTCAAAAGCGTTGGCTTTTAAGTTTGTTAAAGGCTCTTTCTGCAGATTTACTTGTAAGTGCCAGACAATCATTAATATTATACAGCATCAGTAAATTAGGGTAACCAGACAGCTTCACGAAGGCATAACTATTCCATTCATTTACTGAAATCAATTGAGCATCTGCCTGAACCGTAGTTGCAACACTGTCTGGTTCTTTATTGACTTGACTGACATTAGACTCATCAGCAATGTTCCCTTTAAGCTGTGCGGCTGCGCACAGACGCGGCGAAGCAGTTTTGAGTACGAGCAGATAATTTCCACTTAAGTGTGTGTTTGTAGGCTGTAAAATTTTGCGCACAAAAAAATTGATGCTATAAAAATTTGCACACAACTTTATGATTTTGCACTCGAACCAACAAACCTTACAGGGAACATTGCTCATCAGGTAATCTTGCTGCATTAGAGTGCACGTCTTCTGCAGATTGTTCATGTATCTTGGAAATTAACACATCTTCTGACTCCTCTCCTTTGAAATAAAAATTAATATCTTCTTTTAAAGTCAGCCACAGCAATACCAGAATGAACACCATATTAGCTGCATATTGCCCCAATTTTCCTAAGATTGATGAAGTGATCACTTTGTTGGGTCCAACATTGTCACATGGCTGTTTCATGAAGATCAAGTTTTTGTGCTCAAATCTACTGGATATTTTCTGGTTAGCCCTGTCAAGCACTGTTATGGATAACTAGGTTTTGAATCTTTGAGTCTGACTTGTCATTCATCTTGACATCGTTCATCAGCCATCATCTTCCTTTTGCATGCCATACTTCAAGCCAATATATGCACAAACAAAAATTGAGTCTATTTAGTCCCAAATTAATTTTTATTGTTCCACTCCTAACTTAGACTGGGAGCAGCTGCTTTATTTTCTCCCCTGTGTAGATACTGCTGCTAATTACTAATCAGACATTATTGTTTCAGTTGGTCAACCTTTTATTTTGAATCAGGTCCCGGCATCTGTGGCTGCCACTCAGGCTGTGGTTGAAAGGGTGGCTTATGTCCAGGAAACCTTGTTTGGAAAGATGTGGCTGTTCACAGCTGATGGCTCACGCAGTGACACGGCTTTCACAACACAGTCCCTGGGGGCTCACACGGACAATACCTACATGCACACGCCAGCAGGGTAAGTGAACAGCATGATTGTAGCTTGTGGACAGCCTGTTTGTGACTAGTGGACAGCATGATTGTAGCTTGTGGACAGCCTGTTTGTGACTAGTGGACTGCATGATTAGGATAAGTGGACATCATGTTTCAAGAAATGGACAGTATGATTTTAGCTAGTGGACAGTATATTTTTAATTTTTAACTAAAGTCAACAAAAGTCCCATTTTTTTTCAAAAAGGTTTCTCTATGTCTTGTAAAAATATTTTTAAAATGGCATTAGTGGAAAGAACATTTTGTGTCACATAATCAGATCAAATGATTTAAAAGTTTCCTTTAAACTTATTGCCTTTTCGTGTCTTCTTGGACAACCTTACTACGCATTTAGACAGTTACATTGTGTCTCCTTGGATGTGGGAAGAAAGTTTTATCAAGTTGGATGCTGAGAAGCCACATTTAGAACTACAAGCACAAGTAGTTATCCACAATTAGAATTGGGGTTGTGACATTTTGATACAAGTTTTACATTTGTATGAACTGTTGTTTTGCAAGGATTATTTTTAAATTCTTTTGTTGTCAGACTTCAAGTTTTCCAGTGTCTGGAGCACTCTGGGTCAGGGGGAGAAACTCTGCTTGTGGACGGCTTCCATGCTCTACAGACCCTTCAGAGAGCCGACTCTTCTGCCTTTGATGTACTCACTAAGACAGTGGTTCCCCATGAGTACAAAGAAGATGCGGGTGACAAAAGTCCTGGTTATCATTTGTATAATTTGGGGACCGTTGTGACTGTGCATCCTGTGTCAGGGGAGTTGATTCAGTTAAGGTGAGTTCTTTGTTAAAATTAAACATACCCCATAAAGTTTGAGCACTTTTTGAACTTTAGTCCTGTGCATTGGAGATAGGTTGCTAGGCACTCTTTGGGAGTTAGTTTGCTAGGCACTCTTTGGGAGTTAGGTTGCTAGGCACTCTTTGGGAGTTAGGTTGCTAGGCACTCTTTGGGAGTTAGTTTGCTAGGCACTCTTTGGGAGTTAGTTTGCTAGGCACTCTTTGGGAGTTAGGTTGCTAGGCACTCTTTGGGAGTTAGGTTGCTAGGCACTCTTTGGGAGTTAGTTTGCTAGGCACTCTTTGGGAGTTAGGTTGCTAGGCACTCTTTGGGAGTTAGGTTGCTAGGCACTCTTTGGGAGTTAGGTTGCTAGGCACTCTTTGGGAGTTAGGTTGCTAGGCACTCTTTGGGAGTTAGGTTGCTAGGCACTCTTTGGGAGTTAGGTTGCTAGGCACTCTTTGGGAGTTAGGTTGCTAGGCACTCTTTGGGAGTTAGGTTGCTAGGCACTCTTTGGGAGTTAGGTTGCTAGGCACTCTTTGGGAGTTAGGTTGCTAGGCACTCTTTGGGAGTTAGGTTGCTAGGCACTCTTTGGGAGTTAGGTTGCTAGGCACTCTTTGGGAGTTAGGTTGCTAGGCACTCTTTGGGAGTTAGGTTGCTAGGCACTCTTTGGGAGTTAGGTTGCTAGGCACTCTTTGGGAGTTAGGTTGCTAGGCACTCTTTGGGAGTTAGGTTGCTAGGCACTCTTTGGGAGTTAGGTTGCTAGGCACTCTTTGGGAGTTAGGTTGCTAGGCACTCTTTGGGAGTTAGGTTGCTAGGCACTCTTTGGGAGTTAGGTTGCTAGGCACTCTTTGGGAGTTAGGTTGCTAGGCACTCTTTGGGAGTTAGGTTGCTAGGCACTCTTTGGGAGTTAGGTTGCTAGGCACTCTTTGGGAGTTAGGTTGCTAGGCACTCTTTGGGAGTTAGGTTGCTAGGCACTCTTTGGGAGTTAGGTTGCTAGGCACTCTTTGGGAGTTAGGTTGCTAGGCACTCTTTGGGAGTTAGGTTGCTAGGCACTCTTTGGGAGTTAGGTTGCTAGGCACTCTTTGGGAGTTAGGTTGCTAGGCACTCTTTGGGAGTTAGTTTGCTAGGCACTCTATGGGAGTTAGGTTGCTAGGCACTCTTTGGGAGTTAGTTTGCTAGGCACTCTATGGGAGTTAGTTTGCTAGGCACTCTATGGGAGTTAGGTTGCAAGGCACTCTTTGGGAGTTAGTTTGCTAGGCACTCTTTGGGAGTTAGTTTGCTAGGCACTCTTTGGGAGTTAGTTTGCTAGGCACTCTTTGGGAGTTAGTTTGCTAGGCACTCTATGGGAGTTAGTTTGCTAGGCACTCTATGGGAGTTAGGTTGCAAGGCACTCTTGGGGATTTGGGCACTCTGGTACATCATACTTAGTTGGGAAATTGGAATGGTGCGAAACATTGCATTAGGCATGAGTGGGTGAAACATAATTTGATTTCTTAAATTTTATATCCATCTATTTAACAATTTATCACCTATTTAAAATGCAAAACCTGTCTATTCAACACTATACCTGTCTACTCAACAATTAACCCGCCTATTCAACAATACATGAACACTATACCAGTCTATTTCAAACACAATATTTGCCTATCAAACACCATACATCATGCTGAACACTTAATTTCCTCCTAGGTTTAACCCCTATGACAGGGCACCCTTGAACACAGTCCGGCCAGATGACATCCCAGCGTTCTATGAAGCCTATGAAAAACTCTCCAGAATCATTTCCAACAAAGACAATGAAGTTTGGGTAAAACTAAAGCCGGGCTCTGTCTTATTCATAGACAACTGGAGGGTCATGCACGGTCGGGCAGCTTTCGACGGCAACAGGGTCATGTGTGGGTGTTACTTGCCTAGAGAGGAGTGGATCTCACTTGCCAGAATGAAAGGCCTCATGTAACATAAAAGTTTAGCATTGTTTCAAGGGAAAAGATTGTTCAATGCCATTGTGATTATGAGGACATGGGCTGACTGAGTAATTTAGAATAAATGATTTATGGTGGATAATGATGCATTCAGTGTGTTTTAAAAGAATCTATTAACATGTTTTATAATCCAAGTTAGTTCAGCTCACAACACTGCAGACTAGGCAAAGCCATATCTTGATATTTCAGACACAAATGTTTGAATGATATTTACTCTAATAAAAATATAATGAAAGATAAAGGTGCATTAAATGAAGAGATGACAAAATTAGGCAGTACACAGCATCACAGCTGGTTCTGTACTGTAGTCCAAATATGTAATCTCTAAACTGCACCATTTATGCAGGTAGTATTCATGTGCAATGTTTGAATTTACTCAGATTATTTGGAAAGCTGATTAATTAACTCAAAAATGCACTGCCCTGATATGCTCCAAGTGACTTGAAAACACTTTACGTATTTAGTCTACTTCTGCTTTCCCTTTGGATTTTTAATGCAGTAAATACACATTTTTTTTTTTCTTAAACGACTATTTTTATGAAAGATGCTTAAATTTTGATGCCTTTTGATTTTATTTCCATTCAATAATAAAATAATTCAGTTTACACATTTTGTTTCAATTTATTTGTAATGTTATTTTGCAATGTTTATCGGGGTATTTGTAATAGAGTTAGATGCTGATGCCTACACTTGAACAGTTTACTTCAAGGGTGAATGACATCTTTTACTTGGTATTCGCAATTGGATAACGGTTGAAAAGGTTGAAAAAATCTGAAAATCAGGTATTGCAATTTCATTGTCAAAATGACGTCCTCCACTTTTTAATTTACCCATGCTGGCGTTACTTTTAAATTATTTTTTAATGTATCGTACAACAAAACCATTTTACAAATTCCAAGGATAAAAAGCCCACATCTTTATTTTTTATAGGAAAATTTTTTTAACATTAAAAAACAAAATTTAATCTTTGAAAATTGAAGGTAAAAATTAGTCAACTGTACTAGTTAATAACTTTTTTTAAAAACAAAACTGTGTAATGATGAAAATAAAGTGTGTATTTAGTGTATTATGTCATCTATAACATATCCAAAATTCATGATTGTAGAGCATGTGTGAGATTTTAAGAAGCGATGTCAATCAATGATTGTAGAGCGTGTGTGAGATTGTCAGAAACAATGTCAAACAATGATTGTAGATCATGTGTGAGATTGTCAGAAGTAATGTCAAATAAGGGGATCATTTCAGGGTATGTAAAATAATCATCATCGGCTGCCATGTTTGTAGGCACATCACCTATCATCGATAGCGTCTGCGGGGCAGTCAATAAATTCCTTAAATTGGTTATCCAGACTATAAATGGTGGGGTTTTTAACATAAAAATTATTGTTTGGCTCATCAGTGGTTTAAATGTTGGGATTGCTTGCCAAGGATGGATAGCCACTTGGACATCATTTAAATAGGCCTACAAAGTATTGTTAAGAATACACGTGTCCTATTTAATTATATTAAGCTGATTATAATTGTTTTAATAATGTAAATATAAAAAATAACAACCTAACTTTGATATTGAAATAATTCAAGTCCAAGTCACCACACATTTTTTAAATATATTTCATAAGATATTGAGCAATAGATCAATAATTACTACTAATATACTGTTGTTTGTCCGTCGAAGTCGACAAGGACCATCGAATCATACTACTAATATACTAATAAGTCGGCCACATTCATTTCCAAAGGTGTCCTCAAAAGAACAAGTGCTAATAATAACACAACTTATTGATCCAAAGAATGCCACAAAATAATTTAAACAATTCGTTAATATTATCAACACATTGCCACTTGTGTAAATAGAACAATTTCTTGATTGAGAAATATGCCAGCCACAATGAGTGAATGTGATGAGCGGACAAATGGAGGGTCCGCCTACGTAAATTTTTTTTTTCTTGTTTTGGCTCTGGCAGTGTATGACTAGACTAGACTCTATTTTTTACTTAACTGTTACTTGTCACTTTCAATGTCACATTTATGCCATTTAGTTTTTTGTGCATGTCATTTCTACTTCAATTCTGCAACAGTTTTAAATAATAATGTTAAAGGTTTTCTAGGTTCTTTTTGTGGCGATATGTGTCCAGGTCCGAGAGGCATTCGTGCCATTTAGCTTGACCATGTCTCGGACGAAACTTAAAAAAAAAAAACAAACAAAAAAACATAGGTGTATTTATGAAGTTCTTAAAACAGTTTCTAATCATTAGGTCCCCCCACCCCCACCCCACCCCATCTACAACACAGGCGTTACGTTGCCCTTGGCATTGGGTTGGGGGGAGGGGGGGGAGATGGTGAGTGTTAACAAATTTGTGACAGTATATAGGCCTACTCTGACAACACCAGCTTCCCCCACCTTCCAAACACCACAATGAGAACATACCACCGCCATTCCTTTCACTGCCCAGCATATAGTGATACACGTCTATATCATACCACACTTCCCCCACCTTCCAAACATCACAATGAGAACATACCATCCCCACCCCTTTCCTTTCACTGCCCAGCATATAGTGATACACGTCTATATAATACCACACTCCCCCACCCACCTTCCAAACACCACAATGAGAACATACCATCCCCACCCCCTTTCCTTTCACTGCCCAGCATATAGTGATACACGTCTATATAATACCACACTTCCCCCCCCACCTTCCAAACACCACAATGAGAACATACTATCCCCACCCCCTTTCCTTCCTTTCACTGCCCAGCATATAGTGATACACGTCTATATCATACCACACTGTCCAAATTTAAAAAAAAAAAA